GGGAAGTTCTCTTTCTCTCTCTCTCTCTCTCGCCCTCATTTTCTCTGTCTGTGAAGGCCATATGGCCCTTTGGCAATTAAAAAAAAAATAGAAAATGGGCAGGGAGCACAGGGCAAGGAGCAGAGAAGACAAAAAGTACAGTTGATCTTGGGGCCAGCAGTTAGCATAATGGCTATGTTGCTGGACTTCCATGTAGTCGACTGCGGTTCAAGTCCCGGACCCAATGGCTTGAACTCATGCCGGGCGCGTGTGCATGCTTGCCCAAGATTCCAAGAGGAAAATGGAGGAGAAGGGATTCCATTGTGGTCATCCCCCTGGGGGGGTGATTTCTCACTTTCTGTCTCTCTGTCTCTCTCTGTCTTTCTGGCAAGCGCACATGCCCTATAGCAAAAACCAATAAAAAAAATATAATAAAGAAAGAAAGAAACAAAGAAACAAAAAAAGTACAGTTGATCTTCACTATACAGAATTCCATATTGGGAATTCACCTTGTCATCAAACTTTGTCCATACCCCAGAAGCAGCACGCACAGTTATCCACGGCCCTGTGAAAGGCAGTTTGACACTGGAGTTACACGTGCTCTTTCCCAGTTGAGGCCAAATGAGGCCCACTCTGCCTTCCTGTGTCAGCTCCTCTGCTGTAAGCTAGCATCCTTTCCACAGTCTATGTAGTGCCATGTTTTTGCATTTTTGTTGGTGATTCGTTGTTTTATAATAGCCCCAGTAAGTACTGCCTGCTGTTCCCAAGTATGGCAACTGTGATGTGTCTTATGAAGAAAGTACATTAGACAAGCTTTGTTGAGTGATGAGTGATGGCACTGTTGGTCATGGGCTCAATGCTGACAAATTAACAATACATATTAAACATGGTGTCTTTAAAGAGAAGCACACATAAAATAATGGTAGGTGTGTGTATGTGTGTGTTTGTGTACATTGATTGGGATGGAGGTGAGGAGAGTTTTGTTTGTGTGTGTGTGTGATAAATTCATGAAAATATTGTGACCAGAGGTTTGCAAAACCAGAACCCCCATTTTCCTCTAGGAATAATGCATTAGTATTTGCTAATCCAGTGTTCATAGCACTGACCTTGAATAACAATAATCAACTGTATTTAAGATGGACTTGGGGCCAGCAGAAGGGCACTGGACTCCCATATTGCTAACCGTGGTTTGAGTCCCAGACCCGGCACCTTGCTTTCTCACTTTCCCTTTTTCTCTCTCTGTCCCTCTCTAGTCAAATTAAAACAAATGAATAAATACATAAAGTTAAATAAAATAATCCTTTTTTAAAAAATGGACTAGAGACCAGCAGTTAGCATAATGGCTATGTCACTGGACTCCCATGTAGCATGTGCGTGCCCAAGATCCCGAGAGGAGAAGGATTGTGGCATGGCCATCCCCCATGGGGGGTTGATTTCTTGCTTTCTGTCTCTCTTTCTCTTTCTGTCTTTATGGTGAACGCACGTGCCCTATAGCAAAAACCTCTCCAAAAAAAAAGTTATTGTAATTCTCTAACATAAAAAAGTCATAGAAGGATACTACAGTTGGGACAGAAGGAAATAAGAGAGAAGTAGGTTTCCATAGCATCCGTGTTCTTACACCAAGTGACAGCAGCTGTAGGGGAAGCTTCGCTTGATCAAAACTGGGACTTGGATGTCCCAGTTGGCCACAGATGGTCTCAGTGCACAAGAGTACTGCCCTGTCTCAGCATTCACGATGGCACAGAGCTAGCCTTCTCAGCCTCTCATCAGTAGGGAAGAAATGTCTTGGATTTACACAGAGAATGCTGTTGCTTCAAATGCTGGTGTGTGACAATTTATTTCCATCTAGCATCTGATACCACTTCACAGCCAAATTATAAAGCCATGTTTTTGTGTCTCTTAGAAATCACACCACCTGTAGCTGAAATTTACTCAACCAGATAGAAAGGGATATTTAGCTAATCTGCACCAAGATAAAGCAACCAGATATCAGGAAACTGCATATTTTTCCCTAATTTCAGTAATTAACATAGTTATATTTAATCTCCCAATACCTCAGTCTCCCTGTGCAAAATGAAAAGAATACTATTTGTCACATGACTGAAAAGGCTGAAAAGACCTGAAATCCCTATGGAGGAAAATGATTGTACACAAAGTACCTTTTTAAGTAAAACAAGAGTAAAAGGACACTCGAAGATGCTGTTAATAAGTTAAGGGAAGGGGAAGCACCTTTAGTTCCAAGTGGAAGGATGAAGTAACTGATACTAAGAAATAATAACAATAGGAAAGCCTGCAAAATTCAAGTATGTACACGTTTTAATCACAAGAAAGTATTTCAAAAGCTATCCTTTGACACTAAATGATAGGAGAGCCTCAATGAACCAGAATAGGGTCAGGGGGTCAGGCTGACTTGCTGTAATCTCATTATCTGACCTCCTTGATTGGTTAGGGCTTAAGCAGCAATACCTTGTTCCCGAAATTCCTAAAACCTATTAGACAACTTGCTCTGTGTACTGTTACTAAAATACATCTAATACTTCTTGAACATCTGCCGTGTCCCCGGTGCTATGAATACTGTTTACTCATGTATACCCACAATCGCACTACGTAGTCAGGAAGCCCATTTTACAGATGCCGAAGCTGAGGCACAAAGAGATTAGGTAAAAAGAATAAACTCAGTCTTCTGATAACATTATTAACTTTCATCATTCCCAATCATTTTGAATTTCCATGCTGTTGTAATACTCTGAGGATGGTGAATGTATTGATCCTAGGTATGGTCTAGAATTTGGAATCAATCTGTGGCACTTAAATGCTTTTTTGTCATTTATCTCTAAGTCTTAGGAGAGGAGGAGGGTGAGGGAGGGTGAGGTTAAATACAAATACTAGGTGATCCAGCGTCTACTTTTCTTTTCTTTTTTCTTTTTTTTTTTTTTTGGAGAGATTTTTGCTACAGGGCGTGTGCGCTCACCAGGAAGAGAGAGAAACAAGAAATCACCCCTTAGGGAGGATGACCATGCTGCAATCCCTTCTCCTCCATTCTCCTCTCAGGATCTTGGGCAAGCATGCACACGTGCCTGGTGTGAGTTTAAGCCACCAGGTCCAGGATTTGAACTGCGGTCGACTACATGTGAGTCCAGCAACATAGCCATTACTCTATCTGCTGGTCCAATCTAGTGTCTATTTTAATGGCTTCTCAATATACAGTAGCTTCCCTGTTACTGCAGGTGCATGAGCGACAGTGTTCTGCTCACACGTTAATTGTCAAGTGGCAGCATTGCCTTCCAGAAGTAGTGAGCCCCACTAGTCGAGTGGAGGGTCTCATCACATTCTAGAATGTCCAATGACTCTTCGATTGAGCACTACTCCTAAGTCAGAGCAAATTTATTCTTATGTCCTTAGGAATTTCACCTTCTCATAAACTGCATAATGACAAAAATGACCTCCAGCTGAAAATATTTCCTTCTTATTACTATGAGTCAACACGTTTGACTTTTTTTTTTTTTTTTGCTATAGGGCGTGTGCGCTCACCAGAAAGACAGAGAGAGACAGAGAGATAGAAAGTGAGAAATCACCCCCCAGGGGGAATGGCCACGCCACAATCCCTTCTCCTCCATTCTCCTTTCGGGATCTTGGGCACGCACGCACATGCGCCCGGCATGAGTTTAAGCCACTGGGTCCGGGACTCGAACCGTGGTCGACTATGTAGGAGTCCAGCGACATAGCCATTACGCTAACTGCTGGTCTCAGCACGTTTGACTTTTTATTCAGTTTCCTTTAACCAGGCAAGACCTGCAAGACCCGATCAGATCATCTTGCTTCCTGTGTCTAACAGCATTTTCACACCATGGCACACCCTCTGCTTTGAGAGCCATCTCCTTGTTTCCTTGGACATCGATTTCATTCTCTACTATGAAAATGGATTTGTTTTTAAATTGAGATAGAATTAGAATGATTTTTTTAAAGCTTATGTTTCATTTCCATGGATGAAAAATGCATTGTATCATTATGAAAGGGTATAGAATCTTTGAAAACTTCAACAATAAAACACCTCTTTTAGCAAATGGGTTTATTGACATAACTGAACATAACAATGTATAACATTTATTCACTTCCCAATGAAAGACTTTCCAGTGAAACAATATTAAGTAGAACACAGATCCAGGCATTACCCATTCTCAGTGATGTCCTACAGTTGAAAAGGCCAGTGGTGTGTGGAATCAGAGGTCTTTTCGAGACTTTCAATGGGATTCAATACCACACTGCTGTGCAAAAGAAACAGCTAAGAGGTGCAATCGCTCCACAAATCAAAAAAGGCAGAGAAAAGGCACCAGAGAGCCCACAGGTTGCAAGGAAGAGCGAACAATTCCCCATGCTCCGGATCTAAAACAAGCCCTGGCAGCACACTAAGAATGACAGTCTATTTCCTGTCATTTATTACATTTTGGCCCTGCAGATAAGACTGCCAGAAAAGCAGCTGTACTGTAAGTGGTCTGGATATTTACTCACCAGAACATAAACAAAGATCAGCTACCTCATTCAGATCCCTGGGTCCCTGCTTGGCTGTTGAGACAAGGTCAGGCATGGATCAATCCAGGCCAAACATAAAAGAAATGAACTGGGGTTGAAGGACCCCTGGACTGTGATGGATTCCCTGAGTCATCAGCAGAACCCTCAGGGGCTTATGCCCTACACAGAAGAGTCACCGTTGGCCTTAGCACCATTGTAGTGACCTCCAGGTATTTCACTGCCAATAAATCCATAACTAAGCTGAATATAACCACAGTGTACACTCTCTTAGTGACTGCATTTGTAGACCACACAAACAAAAAAAGTATTAATGTAAACCAACCACTACATTTAGTGATAAACATGTACTTCATAAATATCAGGGAACAAACCTATCTCAAATAGCTGAAAACAACTTGAACAAATAAAGGAGCCTACTTCTAAGTTTAAAATAAAAATAATGAAAAGAAGTAACTGCAACTATTAACTAAAAGATAAGATTTAATAACACAGTAAAACACTGGGTAGTGGGAGGATTAATTTGCAAAATAATTATTTCACAGTGAGGTTTAAGTACTCAACAATCTTCTGGTTTTAGTAGAAAGACACCCACTGATGTACTTTTTTCACATTTGTTTTCCCTAATTTCTTCCCTTTCACTGTTTCATATAAAGAAAGACGTTAATGTGATCAACACTTCACTATCAATTGACAATCACCTTCTGCTTCCCTGTTAGGAAATTACCTTTATGGCCTAACTGTGCAACACAATTAGAGTATGGTCAATTGTGTCAGTGATGAAAATGTGAGAAGTACCACAATGCATTTATTCCAATCTTGACACTGTCAAAGATGTGGTCAGTGAACTGGAACCCTGGAGTTCCCTAGGGGTTCATCGGTTACATATACATTACATTCTTTTATCAAATGTGGCACTGAAATTTCCTTTTCCATTTATAGGTTTTTAAAAAATAATAAAATTAAAAATTAGCCACAGGAGCAACCCTGACAGAGAAGTCTTGCATGCAGCCTTCTCCTGAGAAAGTATGTCATCTTAGTTATTCTCAACGTCAGCAAACATTCTTGTCCTGTTAAGGTTAAAAGCAAAATAGTTAAACTAATTAGTTCAGTCTAACTAAAATAGTCCTTGAGTTTGTCAGTTTGTTAAATGTCTGAGCTCTTCACATTGTTGAAAAAAAAAAAAAACTGTCTTCTAATATTTAAATGCGAAGGTAACCTGAATGCTCAATCAGCCAACATTAACAACTTGCTTGGTGAGTGTGGTAAAGTTTACCACCTGTTGACATCATTCTTGCCAGAACCAACAGCCCATGGAGTGAGTTGCCAATCTTTCTTTGTAATGGTAGTAAGTTCCTTATTCCTTAAATAGAAACAAAACTTCTCTTTTGACACTGAGCAAACAAAAAGCACGCACCAAGTCTCTTGCTGGCCTTGCTGCGGGTATAAACACCCTTTCCTAACACAAAGAGCCCAGACCATGGCACCGCAGTGCTACAAACGCCATTTCCATAGCTGTGGCAAGGACTCTGCATTCAGAAACCTTTTCAACTCTCCATCCATTTTTCCCCTACTTGGCCCTGACCGCCAAGGACCCATCTATTTACTCCTTGAGTACTGGAAATTGGAGAATGATGCCCGAATTGGTCGTCTGTCCCCTTTGCCCTCACTGGCAAGTGCACAAAATGGGGAAAGGCGGTCTGACAAGTTAGGGCCTTCCCTGGAGGGACCCCACGAAGAGGTGACTCCTCAAGACCAATGACATGCCTTCCACACGCCTGGAGGTCCTGAACCTAGTCAGCAAATCGCTGCAGGAGATGGTCCTCCCGTCTCAAGCTGCCCCCTGCACCGCCACCCGCGCTGTCCATGAAGCGGTCGCAGGGGAACTCAATGAGGTCGGCCTCGCTAAGCGCGCACACGGTGGTGCGCGGCCGGTGAGACTGGAACCCCGAGAAGTCAGCGGACACACCGGTGCCCATGGAGCGCAGGGGCCGTCGGGTGGAGTACATGTGGCGGACATGGACAGGAGCCCCGCCCTTCCTCCTGGCCCGCAGCTTCCTCCGCAGCCAGCGCGACGCCCAAGCAGCCAAGGCCAGGAGCACCAGCAGCGCATTGACCGCCAGCAAGGCCAAGGTCAGCAGCTGATAGTCGACGCCGTCCCGGTTCCCAGTCTCGGGCAGAGTGACCAGCCCTGCGCAGTGGTCCCGGGGGGCCACGGGGCAGACCCGGCCCCCGAGCACGCTCTCCACGCACACCAGGTAGGGGGTGTCCCCGCGCAACTCTCGCAGTGTGGCTGATTCGCTGCGCTCCGGCAAATAGACGAAGCGGTGGAACTTGGGCTGCTGGCCAAAGCGGTCAAAGAGCAGGCGGAAGCGCGCGCCTCCCAGCGGCCTGGGGCTGCGGTGCTCACGCACCGCCCAGCGCACCGAGGCGCTGTCGGAGCCCACAGCTTCCACCGTCAGGTTGCACAAGATGAATTTGTTGAAGTCGCAGGGGTCTGACACCAGCGGCGCCAAGCTGACCCCGCCGTCAGACTGGGCGGCGCGCTCCTGCTGCTCGGCGGCCAGCCCCTGCCTTGCTGCACGCTGCCAGGGGTCGCCCAGTGGCTGCGGATCCGAGCCCAGCGTCGCTGTCGGGGTGGGCTCCATGTGGGCAGGATTGGCCCAGGTCGGACGACCTCTTTCAGACTTCCCTTGCAGGTCCATAGGATGTGGAGCCAAGCCCAAGGCAGCAGCGACAGAGGGGCTGGGTTGCTGGAGGCCTGGGCCCCGTCGACTCAGCCTTAAAGCGCTGCGGTTGCCCACGAGCTCCCTGGCTGCCCCATCCCAGGTCAGTCCAGTTAGAAATCGCCCCCGCTGCTGGGGCTGTGGCTGTGGCGGCAGTTCCTCCGCGAGACCACCTGCAGGGGGCGTCATTCTCTCCCCGGTGGAGGTGGGTAGCGGCCACAGCCTTACGTCGGCGGTCGGGTAAGCTGAGGGCAAAACATCGGAACAAGACCCGTTCTGTAGCTGCTGGTCATCCAGGGAATCCAGGTACTTGCGGCCGGGGGGTGGCGACACTGCACGAAGACCGTGAGAAGCCGGCCCTGCGAGTGCCAGTCGCCCATCCAGCGCTTCAGGCCTCGCAGCCTGCAGTCGCAGGTCCAGCCGTTGCCGTCTAGATCCAGCCGGTAGAGGGCCGGGCTGGCGGAGAAGATGTCCCCAGAGAGGACGCTCAGAGCGTTGTCGCGCAGGCTGAGCTCGCGCAGCCGACCCAGGTGGCCAAACGTGGCTGGGTGCAGGGCGGACAGCTCGTTGCCGCTCAGGTCCAGCGCCTCTAGGCTGTGCAGAGGCTCCAGCAGCGCCACCGGCAGCTGGCTCAACTGGTTGCCCTCCAGACGCAGCTCACGCAGGGCCTCCAGTCCCCAAAAGGCGTCCGGTGCTAGGTGCGTGAGCTGGTTGCCCCTGAGTGAAAGCAGGCCGAGGCGTGGCAGGTGCTGGAAGACGCGCGGCCCCAGGTGCTGCAGGCTGTTGGCAGAGAGGATGAGGGTGGAAAGGGAGCGCAGCGGTGCGAAGGTGGCCGCGTGGCGCAGGGAGGGCTGCAGCTCGTTGGCAGAGAGGTTAAGGAAGCGCAGCTTGCCCAGCTGGGCGAAGGCATTCTTGCCCAGAAAGCGGATGCGGTTGGACTCCAGATGGAGGTAAAGCAGGTTGCCCAAGGGGGCGAAGACCGCGTCCGGCAGCGCCCCCAGGGCGTTCCCGTCCAGCCGCAGTTTGACCAGACTCTCCAGGCCCTCAAAGGAACCGCGGCTCAGGCGGCCAATCTCGTTCCCATTGGCGTAGAGGATGCGCAGTTTTCGCAGAGGGGCCAGCGTGCCCGGGGAGAGTGCCTCCAGGAGGTTGTTCCCCAGATAGAGCTCCTCCAGCCGCGAGAGCTTCTCGAAGGTCTTAGGGTGCAGAGAACGGATCTGGTTGTACTGCAAGTCCAGCCGTCTGAGCTGACCCAGGCGATGGAAATCGAAGGCCGTGATGTTGGTTATGAAGTTGCCTCCGAGGCTGTAGGTGAGCACGTCCTGGGGGCTCGGCAACAAGCTGGTCTTGGGCACGGCGCGGAGACCGCGGTTGGTGCACAGGAGGTGCTGGGGGTGCTGGCAGTCGCAGCGCTCTGGGCACACGGGCTGGGCCCGCGGCAGGAACGCGAGACAGCAGCACACCACGAGCAGGAAGCGGACGGCGCGGGCAGCCTCCATCGCCGCTTGCCTTGCGTGCTGCGGCCGGATCGTCCTCTTGGCCCGCCGGCTCTGTGTCTCCTCTGCATTCCCTTTGGCCTGGACAGAGTAGCTAAATGGCCTCTTTCGAACTTCGCTGCGCCGTCCAGCCCCTCCTCCGCCCTTTGTCCGGTGGCTGGCCCTGGTCTCTGCAGGCGTGCTTCGCCTGGCCAAGTCAGGCAGCGCAAGGCGCTCTGCAAGCCCGAGTTGCTACTTGTTGCATTTCTGCAGAAAACTGTTTCTCCGGGTGCTCGTCGGGGGATGGGAGGAGGGAACAAGACCTGGAGCTTTTTGTTTGCAGCCGAGGCCGGAGAGCTGGATTCCCTGGCGCGGATTCTCCCCGCCGAGCGGATTCCCCCAGCTGCAAGCGGGGGGCGCGCTCCGAG